CCTCCTCCTCCTCCTCCTCCTCCTCCTCCTCCTCCTCCTCCTCCTCCTCCTCCTCCTCCTCGGACGCACCGAAGGGCGCAGCGGTGCCCGAAGCCTCCTCCTCCTCCTCGCGGATTCCGCGGGCAGAGTGGGCGCGAGGAGACTGCACAGCCCCCGGGGGGACCGCCCGAAGCGGCCACAGAGCTGCCGCCGAGCCGCCGCCGCACAACAGAGGCCCACGCCCGCAGCCGCCCGCCGGCCGGCCGGCCGGCCGGCTCTGGGGGGGCGCGGCCCGCCGCGGCGCCGGAGCCGGCGCGGGGCGCGGCGCCGCACGGGCATGCGAAGCGGAGCAGACCGAGCGCCTGCGCGGGGGGGGGGAGGGCAGGACAGGACAGGACATCCGCAGGACAGGACAGGACAGGACAGGACAGGTGCAGTGTAGGACGTATGCGTAATTCCCCCGCGTGGGTGGTGTGCAGCAGGGACTCGACAGCCCTTCGACATCCTTTCGAGGGGGGGGGGAGGGCGAGGGGGAGGAGCACTGCGACGACGCCGAGGGCGAGGGCCCGAGGAGGGGGGAGGAGGCTGGGGGCCGGGGAAGGACACGCCAGAAGCTGCGTCTCCCCAAGGCGACGCTGGAACCGCGACGCTCCCCAGCAGGGGAGAAGCATCCGAGGCCTCTTGGGGGGCCGCTCGGAGGCCTCAGTTCGTCCTCGTGGAGGTCTCTCTCGGGGCCCTCTTGGGCCGTCTCGAGTGCCTATTGGGGCCATATGGGGCCGTCTTGGGCGGCTCTCGGGCCATCTTGGGGCCGTCTTGGGGCCATCTTGGACCGTCTCGGGTGCCCTTAGAGCCGTTCATGGAGCCCTCCTGGGGCAATCTTGGGGGCACGTACGGCCGTCTGGGAGACTGCGCAGACGAAAAGAACGGACGTAGGAAACATATACGTTTTCCTTTAGGGATTGGGACGCTTTTTGCCTCCTGGGGGTCCTCCTGGGGGTCCTCCTGGCGGTCCTCCTGGGGGTCCTCCTGGGCCGTCTCGGGAGCCTCCGGCCTGCCTTGAAGCCTCTGGGGCCGTCCTGGGGCTCGTTTGCGGTCCTCTTGGGGCGTCCGGGCGCCCTCTTCAACGTTTCTGAGCCGTCTTGGGACCGTCATTGGGTGCTCTTGGGGGTGTACTGGGTGCCTTTGGGGCCGTCTCGGGCGCCTCTGGAGCCGTCCCGGGGGCGTCTCGGGCCGTTTGGGGTCCCGCCTGGGGGCATCTGAAAAGCGTCTTGGGGGGCTTTCGAAGGCATGTATAGCCGTCTTGGACACTGTGAAGACGAAAATAACGAACATGGGAAAATTACACGTTTTCCCGAGGGAATTGGTTGGTTTTTGCCTCTGCGGCCTCTCCTGAGGGTCCTCCTGGGCTGCCTCGGGGACGTCCGGGCCTGCCTTGAAGGCCTCTGGGGCTGTCCTGAGGCTCGTGTGGGTTCCCCTTGGGCCGGCCTGGCGCTCTCGCGAACGCCCCTGAGCCGTCTTGGGGCCGTCTTGGAGCATCTTGGGACCCCCCAGAGCCGTCTCGGAGCGTCCTGGGGGCTCTCAGGGCGCCCCAGAGGGCCCCGGGGGCCCCTCAAGACAGAGGACATCCTCGCACGCGCTGGCCCCTGCATTGTAAAGAGATGATGTTGGGCTCCAGCTTTTCCTCCCACATCTCGCTCAACAACGCCAGCGCCGGCTGCCACTGCCCGCCCTTCTTGCATGCGCAGATCCCAGCGCTGTAGCTGATCGTTGGGCTCCAGTTTCGTCTCCCACATCTCGCTCAGCAGTGCCAGCGCGCGCCAGCTGCCACTGCCCGCCCTTCTCGCACGCGCTGATCCCAGCGTTGTAGGTTAGACTAGGGCTGACCCGCGGCCTCCGGCCGCGGAATTTGCCCGCCCTGGCGTGGACGTGGAAGTGGAGCTTCTCTGGGGCCTCGCGGGGAAGGGGAGGTTGAAGGGGACGGCGTGGATGGAGGAGGTGGCCGCTGGAGGGGAAGGTGGGCGAGGGATGCAGGCAAGCAGGCCTGAAGGCGGAACTCGGTGGAGGCGGTGTCAGTGGAAGCACACCCATGTAGGCATGACATGGTGTAGACAGAAGCTGTTTCTGACGCCGCAGTCTGTGTTCATCATAGCTTCTGCGGGGAAGGTAGCCGTGAGAAGTTGATTTGCTCTTCGCCGGGGCCGAATGATAATTTCATCTGGCAGTGTGGTGACAATGGGGCCAGTGGGCGCGGCCTAGGAGGCCCGCAAGAGGGCGGCGAGACGGAACTCCCTAAGAAGGGCCCCAGTGCGAGGACACAAATCGACTTTTCGAGCGCACCTCCCCAAGGCCTCCCCAAATAGCGCAGAGATGGCTCCCAGAGGGTCCAAGAAGCCTCCAAAACGATGCTGAAGTTCGACGCTCCCCAAGAGAAGCATCCAAGGCTTCTCGGGGGCCGCTTGGGGGCCTCTTTTCGTCCTCTAGGGGGGGGGTCTCTCGGAGCCCTCTTTGGCAGTCTTGAGTGCATCTTGGGCCGTCTTGGGGCGATGTGGGGCTGTCTTGGGCGCCTCTCGGACCATCTTGGGACAATATCAAGGCCATCTTGGGCCAATATTGGGCGCTACTGGGGCTGTCTTTGGTGTTTCTTGAGCCGTCTCGGGCGCCTCTGGGGCCGGAAAGGCTTGGAGACGGGGCGGCGGGGGCCTCCACAGCCGTCTTGGAGACGGGGCGGTGGAACCGTCTTGGGCCATTATTGACTGCTCTTGGGGCTGTCTTGGGTGCGTCTTGGGCCGTCTCGGGCGCCTCTGGAGCCGTCCCGGGGCAGTGTGTGGCCCTTTGGGCGCCCTCATGGGGGCGTCTGGGCGCGTCTTGGGGCGAGCTGGGAGGCCTGTATAGCCTTCTGGACGCTTCGAGGACGAAAAAAGAGAGAGAGAGAGAGAGAGAGAGACATATCTATATATATACTCACACACACATATATATATATATATATATATATACATATACATATATATATATGTATATATATATATATATGTATATATAGGAAATGTGCGTTTCCCGTCGGGAATGGGCCTCTTGGGGCTCTCCTGGAGGCCCTCCTGGGCCGTCTTGGGAGCCTCCTGGCCTGCCTTGGGGGCCTCTGGGGCTGTCGTGGGGTTCCCAAGGGTGCTCTGAGGCCGTGTTGGCGCCCCCTGGAGCCTCTCGGAGCCGTCCCGTTGGCCATTCTTGGCTGCTCTTGGGCCTGTCTTGGGTGCGTCCTGAGCCGTCTCGGGCGCCTCTGGAGCCGTCCCGGGGCCGTGTGGTGCCTTTTGGGGGTGTCTGGGCGCGTCTTGGGGCGAGGTGGAGTACCTCTATAGCCGTCTTGGACGCTGCGAGGGCGAAAAAATTGAACATAGCGAAAATGTGCGTTTCCCGTCGGGAATGGGACGATTTGGGCATCTTGGGGCTCTCCTGGAGGCCTTCCTGGGCCGTCTTGGGAGCCTCCTGGCCTGCCTTGGGGGCCTCTGGGGCTGTCGTGGGGCTCCCAAAGGTGCTCTGGGGCCGTGTTAGCGCCCCCTGGAGACTCTCGGAGCCGGCCCGTTGGCCATTCTTGGCTGCTCTTGGGCCTGTCGTGGGTGCGTCTTGGGGCGAGGTAGAGTGCCTCTATAGCCGTCTTGGACGCTGCGAGGACGAAAAAACTGAACATAGCGAAAATGTGCGTTTCCCGTCGGGAATGGGACGATTTGGGCCTCTTGGGGTTCTCCTGGAGGCCCTCCTGGGCCGCGTTGGGAGCCTCCTGGCCTGCCTTGGGGGCCTCTGGGGCTGTCGTGGGGCCCCCAAGGGTGCTCTGAGGCCGTCTTGGCGCCCCCTGGAGCCTCTCGGAGCCGTCCCGTTGGCCATTCTTGGCTGCTCTTGGGCCTGTCTTGGGTGCGTCCTGGGCCGCCGGGGTCGTGTGGAGCCCTTTGGGGGCCTCTGGGCGCATCTTGGGAGGAGGTGGAGGGCCTGTGTAGCCGTTTGGGGGCCCTCCTCGGGTGCTCTGGGGGCGTCTTGGTGCGATCGAGAAGGCCTGTATAGTCGTCTTGGACGCGGTGAAAACGAAAAGAGCGAGCATATCAAAAATGCACGTTTTCCGAAGCGAATGGGGCAATGTTTGCCTCTTGGGTCCCTCCTGGGGGTCCTGGCTTGGGGTCCTCTGGGGCCGGCTTGGGCGCCTTTTGGGCCATCTTGAGGCTCCCTGGACCGTTTGGGGACGCGCTTGGAGGCCTGGTGGGCCGTCCTGGGGCGGTCTGGTGGGTCTCTTCGGCCGTCTTGGAGCGTCGGCTAGCCGAGAAGGCGAGAATGCAAAACACCTGCAAAAACCATGGAACAATTTAGGAGTTTGGCCTCTGGGGGCATGCTTCGGAGTACTGTTGGAGGCTCTTGGAGGCCTCTTGGGGGGGTCTTGGGGCCCTGTGTGGGCGTATGGGGGCCCAGGGCTCGGAGTGTCAGGGTGGCCTCTGGGGGCATGCTTCGGAGTACTGTTGGAGGCTCTTGGGGGCCTCTTGGGGGGGTCTTCGGGCCTTGTGTGGGCGTATGGGGGCCCAGGGCTCGGAGTGTCAGGGTTTTTCCACGTGGTTCCCTCTTGGGCCTGGCTTGGGGTCCCCTGGGACCGTCTTGGGCGCCTCTTGGGCCATCGTGGGGCTCCCTGGGCCGTCTGGGGACGCGCTTGGAGGCCTGGTGGGCCGTCCTGGGGCGGTCTGGTGGGTCTCTTCGGCCGTCTTGGAGCGTCGGCTAGCCGAGAAGGCGAGAAGGCAAAACACCTGCAAAAACCATGGAACAATTTAGGATGTTGGCCTCTGTGGGCATGCTTCAGAGGACTGCTGGAGGCTCTTGGAGGCCTCTAGGGCCTTGTTGGGGGCCTCTATGGGGGCCTCTTGGACGCTCCTTGGAGCTTCTGATGGCCACTTCGGCGCGTCTCTGGGGAGAGGGCTCAATTTGTGACGCTCGGGGGCCAGGATCTGCGTGAGGGGTGTCGAAAAATAGCCCTCCAGGGAGGGCAAAGTGCACGACCTTTTCGCACGCGCTTCCGTCTGCCATAGAAAAGAAATTAAGTCGGGCTCCAGTTTCGCCTCTCACATGTCGCTCAGCAGCGCCAGCGCCTGCTGCCACTGCTCGCCCTGATGACGTCGTGCACCAGCTTCGCCTCCCACATCTCGCTCAGCAGTGCCAGCGTCAGCTGCCACTGCCCGCCTTTCTCGCAAGCGCTGATCCCAGCGCTGTAGCTGATGACGTCGGGCTCCAGCTTCGCCTTCCGCATGTCGCTCAGCAGCGCCAGCGTCGGCTGCCACTGCTCGCCCTTCTCGCACGCGCTGATCCCGGCATTGTAGCTGACTAGGGCAGACCTGTGGACTCCGTCCACGACATCAGCTCGACGTGGCGAGGGGTCTCTGACCACGATGGCCAGTTGAAGGCGCTCTCCACACCCTCCAGGACCTCCTGCTCTCCTGTGTTCCTCAGCTGCTGCTGCTGCTGCTCGGAGGTCCTGCTGCTTCCTCCCCCTCCTCCTCCTCCTCCTCCTCCTCCTCCTCCGCCTCCTCCTCCTCCTCCTCTTCACCTTCTTCTCCTCTTTGGCTGGATTCTCCATGCCCTCGGTCGGCAATCGTCGATCCTACGACGACTCTCCCCAACAGAGAAACATCGAAGGCCCTCGGAGCGTCCAACATTGTTCTTTTGTGCCTGCGATATGCCGGTCGCCTCTCGTCCGCTCCCCCCCTCCTGGAAGCAATTCTGAGGCCACTTAGGGCTTCGTGGGGGCCGTTTGGGGATCTCTTGGGGCGTTTTTGCCTGCGATATGCCTGTCGCCTCTCGTCCGCTCCCCCGCTCCTGGAGGGAATTCTGAAGGCACTGAAGGCTTCGTGGGGGCCGTTTCGGAGCCTCTTCGGCCTTCTTTTGGGCCTCCCGGGGGGGCTCTTAGGGCCCTCTCGGGCCGTCTTGGGTGCCTCTTGGGCCGTCTTGGGGCCGTCTGAGGCCCGCCTCGGCGCCTCTTGGGCTGTCTTGGGCCGTCTTGGGCCGCTCCTGGGGCTGTCTTGGGTGCCTCTTGGGCCGTCTTGGGCGCCTCCTGGGCCGTCCCGGGGCCGTCCTGGGGCGTCTTGGGACCGTCTTGGGGGCCTCTTGGCCCGTCTTGGGGCTCTCTTGGGGTCCTCTTCGGCCGTCTTGGAGCGGTCGGGGGGAGTTCTTGGGCCGTCTTGGAGCGTCGGGAAGCCGAAGAGGCGAGGAGGCCGAAAACATCGAAAAACACATTAGAAATCGACGATTTCTGTCGCTCGGGGCCCTCTTGGGAGGCCTCTTGGGAGGCCTCTTCGGGCGTCTTGGACGCCTCTTGGGCCGCCTGGGGCGAATCTCGGGCGTCTTGGGCCCATCTTTAAGCGTGCCGGGGCTCTCCGGGGCCGTCTTGGGGGCTTCTGGGGGCCCTCTCGACATGTCCTGGAGCCTGCCTGGGCGGCCCGGGGCGGCCCGGGGCCAGCCCGGGGCGGTTTTGCATTGGAGCCTGCGCCATTCTGGCACGCACTGGGCCCTGCAATGTAGTAGAGACTAGGGCAGACCTGTGGACTCCGTCCACGACATCAGCTCGACGTGGCGAGGGGTCTCTGGGCAAGCGCGGGGGGGTGCGGCTGCAGGGCCGAAAGGCAATCATGATGGCGTCGGGCTCCAGCTTGGCTTTCCACTTAGGGCTTCGTGGGGGCCGTTTGGGGATCTCTTGGGGCGTTTTTGCCTGCGATATGCCTGTCGCCTCTCGTCCGCTCCCCCGCTCCTGGAGGGAATTCTGAAGCCACTGAAGGCTTCGTGGGGGCCGTTTCGGAGCCTCTTCGGCCTTCTTTTGGGCCTCCCGGGGGGGCTCTTAGGGCCCTCTCGGGCCGTCTTGGGTGCCTCTTGGGCCGTCTTGGGGCCGTCTGAGGCCCGCCTCGGCGCCTCTTGGGCTGTCTTGGGCCGTCTTGGGCCGCTCCTGGGGCCGTCTTGGGTGCCTCTTGGGCCGTCTTGGGCGCCTCCTGGGCCGTCCTGGGGCCGTCCTGGGGCGTCTTGGGACCGTCTTGGGGCCCTCCTGGCCCGTCTTGGGGCTCTCTTGGGGTCCTCTTCGGCCGTCTTGGAGCGGTCGGGGGGACTTCTTGGGCCGTCTTGGAGCGTCGGGAAGCCGAAGAGGCGAGGAGGCCGAAAACATAGAAAAACACAATAGAAATCGACGCTTTCTGTCGCTCGGGGCCCTCTTGGGAGGCCTCTTGGGAGGCCTCTTCGGGCGTCTTGGACGCCTCTTGGGCCGCCTGGGGCGAATCTCGGGCGTCTTGGGCCCATCTTTAAGCGTGCCGGGGCTCTCCGGGGCCGTCTTGGGGGCTTCTGGGGGCCCTCTCGGCGTGTCCTGGAGCCTGCCTGGGCGGCCCGGGGCGGCCCGGGGCCAGCCCGGGGCGGTTTCGGTGCATTGGGGCCTGCGCCATTCTGGCACGCACTGGGCCCTGCAATGTAGTAGAGACTAGGGCAGACCTGTGGACTCCGTCCACGACATCAGCTCGACGTGGCGAGGGGTCTCTGGGCAAGCGCGGGCGTTTTTGCCTGCGATATGCCTGTCGCCTCTCGTCCGCTCCCCCGCTCCTGGAGGGAATTCTGAAGCCAATGAAGGCTTCGTGGGGGCCGTTTCGGAGCCTCTTCGGCTTTCTTTTGGGCCTCCCGGGGGGGCTCTTAGGGCCCTCTCGGGCCGTCTTGGGTGCCTCTTGGGCCGTCTTGGGGCCGTCTGAGGCCCGCCTCGGCGCCTCTTGGGCTGTCTTGGGCCGTCTTGGGCCGCTCCTGGGGCCGTCTTGGGTGCCTCTTGGGCCGTCTGGGGCGCCTCCTGGGCCGTCCTGGGGCCGTCCTGGGGCGTCTTGGGACCGTCTTGGGGCCCTCCTGGCCCGTCTTGGGGCTCTCTTGGGGTCCTCTTCGGCCGTCTTGGAGCGGTCGGGGGGACTTCTTGGGCCGTCTTGGAGCGTCGGGAAGCCGAAGAGGCGAGGAGGCCGAAAACATCGAAAAACACAATAGAAATCGACGATTTCTGTCGCTCGGGGCCCTCTTGGGAGGCCTCTTGGGAGGCCTCTTCGGGCGTCTTGGACGCCTCTTGGGCCGTCTGGGGCGAATCTCGGGCGTCTTGGGCCCATCTTTAAGCGTGCCGGGGCTCTCCGGGGCCGTCTTGGGGGCTTCTGGGGGCCCTCTCGACATGTCCTGGAGCCTGCCTGGGCGGCCCGGGGCGGCCCGGGGCCAGCCCGGGGCGGTTTTGACTCATTGGAGCCTGCGCCCTTCTGGCACGCACTGGGCCCTGCAATGTAGTAGAGACTAGTGTGTACCCGTGCTTGCTGCCATTGGCGGAGATGGCCCAAAGCGGGCCCAAATGGCATCGAATACCTGCCCGAAAACAAGGCCCGCTCTAAGCGCCACAGGGGCCTGCGGAGCATTTTCTAAGGAAAAGTGCTTGTGGACCCCTGTGGGGGCCACTTGACAGGGCACGGTGGCGCTTTTTTTGTCGTGACGACGACGACGACGACGACGACGACGACGACGACGACGACGACGACGACGACGACGACGACAACGACAACGACAACGAAGACGGCGACGGCGACGGCGACGGCGACGGCGCGGCTACGGAAAGGGGCAAGGGGAGGGGGCCCCAGAGCTTAGGAGCGTTCAGAGCGGTGAGAACCGCGAAGACGGCCCAATATGGCGGGGGTCGGAGCGGTGCGAATTGCCAAGATGGCCCAAGATGGCTGTAAGAGGGCCTCCGAAGGCCACTATCGCATACGTCTTGGGGCCCTGAGGGGCCGTTTTGGTCTCGACTGGGGCTCTCTTGGGGGCCTCTGGGGCTGTGTTGGGGCGGTCTTGGAAGCGTCCTCGACCGTCATGGACGCCGTGCAGACCAGAAGAGCGAGTTCTCCAAAAATGTACGTTTTACGAAGGGAATGGGACGATCTTTGCGTCGTAAGGGCCCGCTCGGAGGTCTCTCGGGGCAGCTCGGGAGCGTCTTGAGCTGTCCTGAGGCCGTCTTGGGGGCGTCTGGAGCGGATTTTCGGCAGTCACGGAGCGTCCGCTGCGCGATAGGAGCCGCTCCAGATCGGAGCCGCTCCAGAGGCTCCGGGGCGACCCCGACGGCCACCCCCGACCTCCCAACTCGACTTGGAAACAAGGGCGGCGTCTTTTACTTCACGCAGCGTTAGAATGTGTCGGTTAGTTTGTGTCGATAAACGTCGGATGCGACCAACATCCTTGCAATCTATACCAGAAAACAGACGCGCGATACCACGATTTAAACTTTGGGCGTGCAAACAAGGAATTGACGCCACGAGCGCCTGTTTCGGAAGGTCCAGCAAAACGACAATACTCCCCCCGTTGAAACCACGCTCTTGTCAGATATGCCATGCTCACGCTGTGCATCGAAGCATTGCGCTGTCATGCGTACGAAGTTGCTTTGGGTGCACTAGAAGGGCCGAACTTGTTTACATATGCTCTGTTGTGCCACTAGCACGGTGATTCAAGTCGCAACAAGAAAACCAAATACATGTGCACCGCGCGCGTCCCCCCCGCCCCCCCCCCCCCACCTCCCCACACACACACTTCACAACACACCAGGCACACACACACACACACACACACACACACACACACACACACACACACACACACACACACACACACACACACCACACACACACGCGCACGCACGCACGCACGCACGCACGCACACATACACACACACACACACACGCACGCACGCACGCACGCACACACACACACACACACACACACACACACGCATAAACACACACGCACGCACGCACGCACGCACGCACGCACGCCGATAATCACATACACACACACACACATCTCTACCACCACCCATCACCACAACAACACCACGCACGCACACGAACACCCCCACGCACACGCACACACGCAACACCATACCATCCATCATCCACCACCACAGCCCAAAACCACCCACCACCACCCACCACCGCCCACCACCACCCACCACCACCACCACCGCCATCACCACCACCACCGCCAACACCACCGCCACCACCACCAACTGTGCACAAAGGGCTGTGGCTGCACGGCGCTCTGCAAATGTGCCGCCGTGCCGACCAGGAGGCGCGGCCTCCCCCGTCCGATACTGTATCACACTTTTACGCCTTACTTCTCTCCCCGATCC